TTAAACTCTTGTTTAGTTAGACAACATCTGCACATGAGTTGTCTGAGCACATCTGTCTTCACGCTCTGTTGAAGATGATGAAATTATTGTTTAGTCAGGTCTGACAGCCGGGGGGCTAAAATATGACGTTTCTGTGCCGTTATGTTTGTGTTGGAAGGTTACACAATAGATTACTCAGCGACACACAATGGATGTGTCACCTTCTGCTTTCTTAAGGCTCTGTACACCTCCATTCCAGTCTTTTGGCAGGAAACAAATCTCTAAAAAATGCTACAACATGTTTCAGTGTGTGGGTTTTTGACTTTAACACGCCCTTGATGACTTAATTTGGTTTTCTAGGCTAGAGGAAGGACAGTACCTGATTGCGCACAAGGCGGGGGAACCATTTGTGACCTTATTAAAAGCAGCTAATGGGAAGTATCTGAGTCGGGGTGCATACAACCTGCAGGAGTTCCACAGCTCGGTCCCACAGCCGCCGGCCTCCGGCCTCGTGCCCTGGATACCTGTTGATTCAGCTGTGGTTCTTCCCTTCCACCAGAAACACGGCCGTGTCCCATGCACCTTCCCACTAAAGGTGTGTTCTTGTTATATGTCATCATAGTTACTGCGTTGATAGATGGCACTATGAATAAGTATGACAACAGCGGCGGTCTTGGTTGTACAAATAATGTCAATGCCATAAAACGTTATTGCAACTATTAGGAAGTGTTTATTGGTTAATGTCTAGAAAGTCCACACCCTTCATTAGAAAGACACACACAAAGGGCTAAAGATAAATTAAATGCAGTCTCCCACGAAGTTGTGGTGAGTGCAAAGCCCTAGGTCCTTTTCTTATCAGACAGGCTGAACCAGCAAGTTACTGCATAGTTTGCATGCACAAGCCCAAAACTAACAACAGGGACAATGGAGAGCATAGCAATATCTGCAACAGCTCGGCAGGCTTATTGGTGTAGACCAGGGGCAGCAACCTGCAGCTCTGGAAAGCCACATCCGGCTCTTTAGCACCTCTCCAGTGGCTCCCTGTGGCTTTGACAAAAAAAAAAGGTAGGAAAAAGGATATGCAAATGAATAACAGGCCTAAAGTTATTTTTACAGTCTCCAATTGTAAAAATGTCTAGCCTTTACACACAGAATAATAAAAAATAAAAAATAAAAAAAAATAAAAAGGTTTTTGCTAAATGTCAGTAGTGGTGGCTATTGAGTATCTCTATCTATGCCAGCAATAGATTCTAAGATGTATTTGCTTTCACCACCAACACTGCTAGCTTACCAGTATATGAAGCAAGCAATGTGACGATAAATTAGCATCATAAGTCTCAAATATGTTTTGCGACTCCAGAAAAATTGTTTTGTTTTGTTTTGTTGTTTTTTTTTTTAGGCCAAATTTGGCTTTTAATAGAAAATGTTGCTAACCCCTGGTGTAGACCCTGAGACATTCATGGGATGCCTGTCTGAAATTCCACATAGCAAAGATATTTCAACTTGTGAAACCACAAAGGAAAACAATTTCAACCCGTCATTTGGATTGCCAACATTTGCCCCACTAATGTTTGTACTTCTGAGAATGACATTTTAAAAACATTGTTTGAGATAAATGTATGATGCTACTTGAATTATTTACTTTTTACCTTCCTTTTATTGTTGCAGACAACGAAAGATGGTTCATTGCAGTCCAACAACCTTGGAAGTGGGCAATCAAAGAACAATTTGAATGCAGGAGGTAACGCGAAGAGGAAAAAAAAGAAACGTGCAGCCAAGCGTAACAAGTATATTAAAAAGCTAATTCAGAAATCCATTTAATAGCTCATCTCAAATATCATGTCATTCCTATCATTTCATATCATAGATTAGGTGAGTCAGAAGAGGAACTGGATATGTACTGCTAAGGCAAGGAAAGGAAAGGAAAAGGAAGCACTGACAATGTCTTATGATTTCATACTGGAACTATGTTATGACCATAAATGTGAATATAGAGGCACTTTTACAGAATCTATACCTTTTTTATATTTTTATTTTCTTCAGAGACATTTTTGTTTGTATTTTGCAAATGATAAGGTTTTGTACTAACAGATCAACAATAAACTTTAAGTAAGTATGGTTTCTTGTCTGGACTTTATGAAGTCAAGTTCTGTGTTGGAAAACTTTTACAAAACTTTAAAACTTTGAGCTGCCTTGCTTGAGCTTCTAGTTGCTTCTTGTGGAATAGGGTGGAGTCATGAGTGCATGGAAAGGGGAGGGAATGTGAGTCAGGGGAGGTGAAAGGGGAAGCCCTTTTCTATGTCGGAAAAGTTCACTTCACACCCATTCTACCTAAACATCGCCTGGACAAATCTCTGCATCATCTCAAGTTTAGCAAATTAGGTAAGTTCTGTAGTCTTTATACATTTTAATGTGGAATAACTGAATCTGTATTTGAGAATAACTTCTACACTGTAGGGTTTAAGGCAGGCTTGAGTCATGTCAAGTGATTTTCACACTATTTCCATTCAGTTTGTGCAAACGTTTTGTTACTTTCTTTCCTTGAGTTTTGGTTAAATACAAATGACTTCCTGCTCTGCAGTGTGAGCTCTTTAACCTGTTTTTTCTTCTTTTCTTTTTTTTTTTTTTTTTCCTTTTGTACGTGTGAAATATTCAGTTGTCGAACCAGACTGGTGTACAGTAGCATTTTCCAGGGTGTGTCTCTTTGGGGTTGCTGTTAAGGATGTGTCATACTGAACAAGGATTTAAAAGGGTTACTGGATTGTCACTGGTCTATAACCTATAAGAAACTACTGCAAATGTTTTAAAACAGTGAAGCCAGAGAGGCAACTGTTGGTGAAAATGGATCAAGTCTCTTGCCGTGATTTGATTTTTACCAAAAGCCCCAGCTTAAATGAATTCAGTTTCTCTGCCTCTGTTTAGAATACATTTCTCTGTAGGCTCAAGTGATTATATCATGAGACACAACAAACATGACCTGTTGCATTGTTAAGCTCAGACTCAAGTCAGTAATAGGATAACTGAGATTTGATTACAAGACTGTTGACACTTTTCCAGGACAGTCAAAATGGCTTTGGTATCAGAGTTTCTGGGGCAGCTGTCTCTCAATGTTGGGGTAATATATTTTTTTTCTTCTTTCTCACAGATTACATTCTTTACACCAGATACACTATATACTGTTTATTTTAAGTTGCATCAGTTCTATGCCTAACTTGCTTTGAATCCTCAGTCCTGTGAACCCAAATATCCCACTGTGGTACCTGCGGCGGACTTCGACCCTGACAGAGATGCTGCCAGAATAGAAACTGCTATCAAAACCAAAGGCAAGATATACAGTACTGTACAAGTTACTCAAAAAAAAACATTGCTTGGTTCTGCAACTTCTCTCTACAGATGCGTGGCTGGTATTTGTGAGTCAGCATCCTGGCTTAAAATGTTTTGTCCATGCTGGGAATACCTCCAAGTCTGTACCTCAGTGCTGGCAGAGCTGCTGTTCTGGCCACTGACTGAGAGCTACTGGCAACAGTCTGACCACTAACTCTTCAGCAGTCCACCATTTTGTTATAATGAATAATAGGTTCTGTGTGGAGTGATGTTTCTTTACTAATGATTGTATAAGGAGGGGAAAATGCCTTGTGACCACGTCATGTGTTAAAGCAAGCCAAAGTTGCTGCCAGGCACTCTTATAATTATGTTTATTCTTCAAAATACACTTGAAGACTAATTAAAGTTAAATCCTTCAACATTAAATGTTAAAATTACTCCAGATCTGCCGTATGACATTTGTAGGCCTCCACCACTTTTAGCCCACACAGCTGAGTAAGAGTAAGATCATCTCTTTACTCAAATTCTTTCTGTAAGATTTGAATCTCATTGTTTACTTAGTAACTAGATCAACAAATTAATAAATTTTCTTTGGCACCAAAGGTGAAATGTTATAGGAGTTATCATAGATTATCACAGATAAATCAATGTCATGCATATATTTAAAGTACCAAAAGTAAAATGACTCATTATGCAGAATGATCAGTTATTATTACTGGAGCATAATTACTGATGCATTTATGTGTAAATCACTATATCCTGACAGGTTGCTTAATCTATTGTAATACATTATAAGCAATTTGTTAATTTTGTTTTTAATACTAATCTGAATCTACAAAGTAACTACAGCTGTCACACAAATGTAATGGAGTAAAAACAATATATAAGTAGAGAACTTGCCTCTGAAATGTAGAAATATAAAGTAGCAGAAAATAGAAATATAGAATATAATATTAAATATTGTACCTCAAAATTGTACATAAGACCAGGTCTTGATTAAATGTACTTTTCATGTCATGCATCACTTTTGGATGAATATCAAATTTTTATGTCTCCACGTCGGCGATAGCCATGGCCAGACGCATTATGTTTTTGGGTTGTCCCATTACTGTGAACATGATATCACAGGAATGCCTCAGTATAACTTTTTTAAGCTTGGCACAAATTAACTGATTAGAATTTGGTGGGCAAAGGTCACAGGTCACTGACCTTACAAAACACATTTTTGGCAATAATTTCTATGACCATATTTCACAATTGACTGAACAATGAATTGGTGACATATTTTACTCAAAGGTCAAAGGTCACTGTGGACTCAAAATGACCTTGACAAACACATTCCTGGTCATAACTTAAGAATCTGTAATTATAACAAAATATCACACAGATGGCATACAGCGATGAGGTGATGACATTTTTTAAAGGTCAAAGGTCAGCTTCACTGTGTCACCATAATTCCCTGGAAAAACACTTTTTTGTTCATTATTCAACACCATAACTCGGGAACAGAAGGGGAGATTGTGAGCACTATTTCCCAGTTGGTCGGACAATGAATTGGTGACACTTTTGACTCAAAGGTCCTTGTGACCTCAAAATAGGTTTCGAGCCATCATTTTAGAATTAATTTGTCAATTCCAGATTTAACACACATGTTGACTGGGACAACAGTGTCCATTTTGTCTAACTTGATGTGTGTATCCTATGTGTCTTTTTCATTTTAACATTAGGAGTGGATGAACAAACCATCATTGATGTCCTAACAAAGCGGACCTACGCACAAAGGAGAGAGATTGCTTTTGCATATGAACGGAGGGCAAAGAAGGTACGGTGCGCCTTGACAGAAAAATCCCAAATTTGTCACAGCTCTGATTATGTGGTGGCTCTAACAGTAAGAGACACTTTCAGTACATTCAGGTAACACTGTTGTGTTTTTTTAGGACATGATCACAGCCCTGAAGGGAGCGCTGTCTGGCTCTCTGGAAGCAGTGATACTTGGACTGATGAAGAGCACGTCCCAGTACGATGCCTCAGAGATCAGAGGATCTATCAAGGTAAAGGACATGGATCGTATCAGTTGTACTCCGCATCAGTGGATTCCAATGAAGTCTTACACTGCCCTCTACTGGAAAAATGACTGAACTTGCTTTTTGCTACTGCCTGATCTAAATTCAAAGATCCATGTATTAGATTAGATTAGATTCAACTTTATTGTCATTGTAAATACAGGTACAAACAACGAAATGCAGTTAACATCAACCAGAAGTGCAATTTACAAATGTACAGAAATATGTAAAGAAAAAGTAATAATAACATTATAGATATATGAATGAATATGCTGGCAAGATATTTACATTATGAACAGTATTAACAGAATAAATATATAAATAAGATATTTACAGTATGAGTTCAGTGGGAGTTCAGGGGGTATTAAAAAAGTAATAAAGTATTTTTTCTCTTTCAGGGCTTAGGAACAGATGAAGAAACGCTGATTGAGATTTTGTGCTCACGCAGCAATGAAGAGCTGGTAGACATCAAGAAGGTCTACAAGGAGCGTAAGTCTAAAATATCCCATACATTGACATTAAAGGCTGAAAATACTTAGTAATGTATAATGCCTCACCCCACCGTTGTTTGTGCTGTCTGCTTTCCATGCACTGTGAGGGTATTGTGCAATCTAGGCACTCTGTCCATCAAAAGCCTTTTGTCCCGTCTTAAACGTTCTTGAACCAGAAATTCAACAGCAATGTGGTTACTCTGGTTGTGTAGAAAGAGCTAAATGTCTAAACTGAAAATATTATTTCCCACAGTGTTCAAGACGGACCTGCAGAAAGACGTTAAAGGTGACACTTCTGGCAACTTTGCTAAGCTGCTCTTGGCTCTGGTGGAGGTAAGATTTGTTAGTGCCCGTATTTATGATTCATGTCACTATACATACAGCTGAAACTGACCTGAGTCGTGTCTTATGTCTGTGCAGACCAAAAGAGCTGAACCATCTGCTATTGTAGACTATGAAAAGATTGATGAAGATGCCAGAGTAAGTTGTCCGGTTTATTCATTGGTGTTCACCTCTTTTTAAGATTACCATTTGTTTGGTATTTCAAAAAGAAGCTGCTTAAATATCAACAATTAATTTACTTCACAAGTTCATGACTATAATAGTAAGTCTAATTTTAACCAATGTCATACGTACGCCATTTCACTTCACTGAAAGTCACTAAAAAAATCCACAGTTTAATGTCTAAACAAGTTTAAAAATCCTGGATAATTTTGTAAAACTGAGTGCAACTGAATTGTCATTACAGACTTGGATAGTAACACTTAATTTGGGTTTCATATTTAAAAGGAGTTACACCGCTTTTATGTCACGAAGGGTCATGTATGGACGTGTTCATTAGTATTTTGTTCATTCAACTCAGGCTCTCTATGACGCTGGAGTAAAAATAAAAGGAACTGATGTTGCGACGTGGATTTCCATTATGAGTGAGAGAAGTGTACCCCACCTGCAAAAAGGTAAGACAGACAGACAGACAACCCCTAGTTTTGGTATCACTGTTACAAAAGTATTTTTTATAAAAAATTTATAAAATGTACCCATTAACAGTCAGTTAATCACTTTTCTCTGCTTGCTAGTGTTTCAGAGGTACAAGAGTTACAGCCCCTACGACATGCAGGAGAGCATTGTGAAGGAAGTTAAAGGAGACTTGCAGAAGTCCTTTCTGGTGCTAGGTACACATGTATTTGATCAGTAATTCATATTAATAATGTAATTTACTACTTGACCCTATTTATTCAGTATCTAAGGTAAATAATTCACCCTGTAGGCCAATTTTTGTTTAATTCATTTAATTTCGTTTAATAAATCACAAAATTACAAAAGAAAATGATCTGTTAAATCCAAGTCGTATTGTGGATATTCATTCTGTTCCTCTTTTTCCAGCTCAGTGCTTTGAAAACAAACAGCTGTTCTTCGCCAAAAGACTGAATGAAGCCATGAAGGTAGTTACAGTGCTGCTCTCCTTCTTCATGTTGAAATGTGGCTATTTTGAGGGCCAGACTGTTGTTTTGGGGTTTTTTTTTTGTTTTTTTAGGGAACAGATGTAAGAAGTACATCGGCTTGTGAAAGTGCAATTTTGCTGCAGGAGCACAGAATCCTAAGTTGGCAAAAGTCATCTTACAATGGTGTTGCATCAGCTGCTTTAGTTAAGTTTAGAGCATGTACAACTGAAGTAAGTGCTGACTTATGCTTGTCTGCTCAGAGTAAAGGAGCGAAAGAGAAGATAGTGACCAGAATTATTGTGTCACGCTGCGAGGTGGACCTGAAGAAGATCGGTTCTGAATACAAGACCAACTTTGGACAGTCTCTGCAAAAGACTATTCTGGTAAGTGAAGCGTACAGCCTGCCCCTGGCGTATTATTGATTTACACTAAGCCTTGTTCTGTCATGCAGCCCCTCTAACCTGCTTTGGTTCTGCAGGAACACACCAAGGGAGACTACCAGAAGGTGCTGCTCAGCCTGTGTGGACCGGAAGAATAAAAATGAATCATCAGTATTTTAAAAGGGCCTCACTTTCCACCACTGGAAAGTTGCAATGGAAAAGTGGGCTTATGATAATCACACGCCCATCATTTTCTGCACACACATTTGAATATAACATTCACCTGAAGAATCTCTTTTACTTTTATTATAGCAAACGGCAATAAATTTGCTTTGTTGTAGTTTTGTTCCTTACTTTCCTTGCATCACACACTGTTTGTTCTTACTTGAGGTTTGCTTAGATACCCATTAGAGGGCGCTATAGTAGCATTAAAAGCAAGTGCGGAAAGCTCCAGCTGTTCTGTGTCTCAGGGCCTCCTAATATCTGATACCTGCTGAAAAAAGTCAGAGATGTTAGATTTTTAGATATAATTAAACATTTGATCACAAATGCCAAATTTAACATTCAATTATCATCTTTTTTCCTAAATATTAAGAGTTGTAAATTAAGTAAACATAAATAAAAGCAGCTATACAGACATTTTATTTGCACAAGGGGTGAAAACTAGAGCTAGAACTATTTGCAGCTTGGGAATTTCAGTAGCCTTAAAATGATTGTATTCGAATTCGAAACTTCAGCTACGCTGTTTGAAAATTTGAAGATTAAAAACCTTATGAAAACGCAGGAAAGCATGATCTATACAGCATCTTTTCACGCAAAGAATTATGAGAAATCTTCCTCATTTTCCACTATGAGGTTCCATCAAGATGATTTAATCATTAGTGTGTTTTTCTGTGTTTGTTTGGTGCTAATATTTTAATTAAAAATGTTAATTTTACCTCTGGCAAATATGATTTGCATACCACTAAACAAGCGTCTATACAGTGTGTTCCTGCTGTTTAGTTTGTGGTCTCTCAGGATGAAATAACCACCACAGTGTTGTCAAGGCATTTCTACTGAAGTATAAGAAAAAATGGCCCCAAAAGGCAAGATCAGTACTGCTGAACACAGCGATGAGGAAAAGAGCATAGACTTAATAATCTAATGAAAACAAAGTGTACTGTGGCTCAAATATGGTAGAAGATCATTTATTATTGTGAGAGAAATTGCCGGATAAAATAATGCTCATGTCTAATATTTTCACTGGTTGAGTAGCTGAGGGGAGAAATGGCTTCAAATTTTAACAAGGCATTGGATTTATGATCATTTTGTAATAATATTGATGAGAACATTAGCCCTTTGTGATGGTTTATGTTTATAGGCAATAAAAAAATAAAATATAGTGTAAAGTAAGGTAAAACAGTATTTTGCAAAGCAGGGAGTGAGATTTATGCTTGAATATGGTGACAGATTAATCTCTGCATCATAAAGAGGAAAGTACCACCATATTTTTCCCTTTTTTATATGGATGTACAACATGCTGTTCTGTTCAAGGCCAGCCCATAGGGACCTCCAGCAAACCCAAGGGGAACTCTCTTCTCAATTGAAACGATGCAATTTACTGTCCCAAACGCTGGCACTTCATCATTCAGAGGACTTTAACCCCATGAATGTCAAACACAGAGCATGCTGGGAAGGAGATGGAATACCTTGCATTACCATAACAACTAGAACCAAATGACAAGCACTCTGAAGCCTAAAAGGTGAAGAATAATACCATATAATCACCTAATAACATTTGAATTTGGGAAGAGATTTTTGATCACTTAATGTTTTTAATGATCTAAGAGAGCAGTAAGGGGCTAGTGGCCATTCCCAGCTGTCAGGTTGCTGCATCATGTTGGTTTCAGCCTTAAAGGTCAGACACATCCTGTTCCTTTTTCTAATACTTGTCCTAGTTAGATCGAACATGTGGAGAGCCCCCCTCCCTTCTTCACCTCAGAGACAAAGCCCAGGCAGTGCTGCAGGCAACCAGCACCATTAAAGTTTCACAGTACAGATGTATAGCTGCTGCCGGCCCGCCAGACATACCAACTGCACGTTGGGAAGGTATTAGTTTGTGCTTTTTATTAATTCATTGCATTGAACAGAACTTGCAACTTAGAAAACCGACAGCTTCTTAACGTTTCTTGTCATCTTTCTCTCCTTGACACAGCTGAACCCCGGCTCAGAATTTTTGTGCAGAGCACCAAAGGGTGTTTAATTATAGAGTAGCAGGCCACCAAGGTTTGCTTTTAATTGTGTGCATCTGCGTGTGTGTGTGTTTGCCTGCAGCTCTATAGGTCGCAGGCATGCTCTAAATGAGAACTCCTACAGGCTGAGCTGGAGGAGCTGCTCCCTCAACACAGCTACTGAGCTGAAAGAGCCAGAGTTTGATTAATATTTTCTTAATTATCATTATTTAATTCAGCAAAACCCCAGCTTCTTCAGTGAAAGCATGGCCTTTGTCTCTATGATGCTGAATATCCTGGCTCGTTAAGGGCATGGAGAGATCCTGTATATGGTAAATAAGAGGTTGTGTCTTATGTTGCTGCTGCCCCAGGGAGAGTTGGCACCACACTGAAGGACATCTCCTTCTAAAGAATAACGCTCCGCTGATGTTTCTCTGCTCAGACCGCAGAGCCGGATGATCCTCCGCCTCTGGCATCGTCAGGCCCGCTTCCTTTTATGAGGCTCAAACTGAGACAACAGCACAGGCAGAAGAGTGCTGTGCACTCGTCATGCCATCAGGCTGCCTCCTTTGTACAGTAGACTGGTAATTGAAACAACATAAGAGAGCCGAATAAGGCCTGTCTCCTCCTGGGTTCTGGCTGCAGTCAGTCCATCTGCAGACAAAAAAAGACATATCAAGAAGTTTATAAAAGAGCTTTGTGTACATGCAACACAATTTATGTCTTTGAAGAGTTCAGCTCCTGTCATCATGAGAAGCCAAAAAGATTCTCAAAAAGGTTATACTTGGTGCACACTATGAATCTGCTGCTTCAGTTCTGCCTGTCTGATACCGTATTTACACATAAGGTGCAGGTTGCATTAAAAAAAAAAGATGATGCCCTGTTATTAATTGTACATTATATCAATCATTTCTGATACTAGTCACAATCCAGTTTGCTACAAAGCGTGCCTGGAGATATAACAAGACTTTTCTATAGTTTATCAGATCAGCAGTATTTGATGCTCAGGGCTGGACTGGATGCTGACTTTTCTCTTTGCTTGAAGCTTCCTTTCTATTGCCATGTGCTGAATGAATGAGAATACCCTGTGGCTGGCTAAGGTACACGCTTTCTATCTATATCCACTATCTCTGCTTCTTCAGTTGGCCCATAGAGACGGCCCTCATCCCCTGTGTCTATTCTGCCACTCGCTGATCTGCCCACCGCGCAAAAGGGAATTTTCTGATCACATTTGCAAAGATTGTTGTGATCCAGTCGGTTTGATCGAGTGTCTGACATATATTGTGGAAGCACAGGGTTCTATAACATACAGGATGCATGTATGCAAACTGTGTGTGCACAGTTTAATCTTTTGATGGGGGCTGTGTGGCCTCCAGCCAGATGCACTAATGATAATTTTCTGTGAAGTGGTTGTAATGGTCTGGCCCCAGCGTCTGCAGCTCCACTGTTGTTTGCACATTCCACTGGAATCAGTTTGGGGTGTGTATTTTGCAGCGATGGTGATAATATAGCAAGGACTGCAAGGATAAGGACGGCCTTTATCAGGGTGGCATATTAATGTTTATTTACACCATGGCTAATAAGATGTGTGCTCTGCAGCAAGGTGAGACAGAATGATGGTGGGTAATTAAACTGCTTTGCTTTAGATTCATCCATTATCCATACTCAAGTCTGCATACATAATGTAATAATGTAAAATAAGGCTTGTTGCAGCAGTGGATGAGGTGACCATTCTGAGGTGTTTTTAATCCTCGGAGCATGGTGTAAATCAATACGGTGTGTCACTGCAGACAAAATGTATAGAGATCGGTGTGATAAATTTGTGAATTGTCAAAATATGTGTTCAGAAGCGAGTGAGATACGACCCTTTACATAAGGCAGTTTTGCGAGAACACAAACACACTGACAAGACTCATTTGTGTTTCAGCGTTGGGCTTTCAACCTCTAACCTGTTGGAGGTTCGGGATTGACTGAGTGGGTCTGTAATCCATATTGTCATGGTGCTTAATCCCATCTACTGAAGGCAGGCCCTGTCACCAGAGTCCTTGTCTGGCTGGCCACTGGACCCTATGTTGCACACATACACGCACACACAGAAACACACAGAAACACACAGAAACACAGCCTCACCTTCATGCAAGAGATTGAAATCAGCTAGGCAGACACTCAAGCATGAACCAAATGTCAGCGACAAGCCACAGGGAGAGAAGAGGAGCCCATGTTAATTATTACAGAGAGAAATCATACTATTTCACCTGCAAGATATGCTATCTAGGATATCGGTGGATCATGAAGTCATTTTCTTTTTTTCCCTCCTGGGATAAACCAAGAGGAGACACAATTTCAATGAGTAGATCTTTAAAAGCAGTGATTAACTTTGTGATGGATGTTTTTTTTTTCCCCCACAAGCTTTTGCTTATCACTTTATGGAACTGCGTTGTGTGTACTTCTCTAAAGTGTATTATATGGCTATATATTATAGCCATATTATAAAAAAAAAAGGTGAGTAAATCCATCGGAAGATCAGCAAGTTAGAGAAAACTGCAGAGTTCTTTTGTTCATCAAAATGTCACAGAATTACAGATATTGTTTGAAGCCAGACTGTGAAGCTTTCCCTCCTCTGACAGGAGAAATGCAAAGTTTTGGAAAGGTGTCTACAAATTTCTTCCCTCTGCAACGCTACCCTCTCATTTGATTTTTAACATGCAGGAAGGAAAAAAAACAGCTTTCTTCTTCTTCTGACAACACGTTTCCCATGTGACACTTAACCTTTGGAGATTTCCCATTCTCTCTGATCATTCACTGTTTGGTTCATGTTAATTAACCTTGGGGCACAGCAGAGAGTTGCAGGCTTTGAAGCAGAGGAGAAAGAAAAAAGCAAGAAAGAAGTAAAAGGAAAAATCATTTTATTGTTTTCTGTTTCTTTATGGCGATTAATTTCCCTATCCGTGTGAGAGTCTTGGTGGTGCCAGTGAGTATAGTGAGTGGCGTGGGTGTTGGAAAGGATGGAGCATGGTTTGTGCTGGGGTTTGTGTCCCTGTCACCGTTCGTCCCTCTCCCTGTGAGGAAGTTGGCCAGAGCAGCCTGACCTCCCTCAGGTGGCCATGGATATGGAAATCAGTTCAAAAATAGAAC